CCGCCGGGCTCGCTCCCCGCGGCGGCGCGGCTCGGCCCGCGCCCGCTCGGAACCGGCCCTGCTGGGCGCCCGCCGTACCTCCGGCTCGAGGTGAACGCGCAGGGCGCGCGCGGGGAGGCGGGGAGGAAGGTGCCCCTGCGCTCCAGCCGCGCTCCGGCGAGGCGGGGGCAACGCCGGCCCTCCTCCTTCTCCTCCCCCTCCTCCTCCTCCTCTCCCTCCTCCTCCTCCGGCGCTCCCTCCTCACCTCGCGAGAGCGGGCATTGCCCTGGTCCCCGGCCTGCCTCCCGCGCGCTCCCGGGGCGCTCGGTACCCGGCGTAGCGCGCAGCCTCGGGCCGATCGGCGAGGGCCCGCGGGCGCCGCGCCCCTGCCCGCAGCCCCTCCGGAAAGCGCAGCAGCCCCGCGGCGGGCGCGGGGGCGAGGGAGCTGGGGAGAGAGGCCGGGAGCCATCTGCTGGCTGTGAGCAGGAGGCGCCGGCGCTGGGCGGCTTCGCGAGTCCCAGTCGCCCCCCTCGGGCCGGGACCCCGACCGGAGGCTGGACCTGGACCAGGTCCTACAGACCTGGCTGCGTGGCCACGCGTCCCCTGAGCGCGCTGGGAATCTGAGAACGCGCTTCTTGGGCGCACAGCGCCATGTCATCGGAACTTCCCTTGCTTGTGAACAAGAGCTAGACGAAACCTGGAAACACTAACCAGGTGGTGAGAAGACCCTTCCCCGCGTGCTCGGCGTGTGCTCCGCCACCGCCGGTTGCAAGCCCGCACGCCGGAGTTGTGAGCGCGCCTGGAGTCGTGCGGTGGAGCCCCTCGCCACCCCCACCCACCCCGGGGGCATGCTTGAGGAACTGATCCTAATTCTTGAAAACCGGAATAAGTTTGAATTTACCTGGCCCAGTCTCCTCCCACTACGCTGAGCTCCACCCCCAGAGGGACGTCGACTGAGCCCAGAATGATCGTGCGCCTCCTGTCACCTGGTGGCCGGATTGTTCTGATGGTTGAATCAAGTTCCATTTCTAAATACTGAAAGAAGGGGCTGGTGGGGAAAAAGAGATTCCTATGTTTTGCAGTCTGGCCCTAAAACCTGCTACCCACCTCGGATCCCCAAGTTTCTTAGGCATTAAGGCATTTTGCACCGTGGTACTTTTAACCCTCTATCATCCCTGGGTCTATTGAAACCAGGCTCAACTCACTTTCTCTCACACTTGCGGTTGCTTTCTCTGTTGGTAGATGCTTCCCAATCCGTTTTGAATCAGCGCAACCCTTTGCACAACGGAAGGGAGCACTGTCCAGTCCTGCGCCATCCTCAATCGGTGCTATGTTTGAGCCCTGGTTGTCACGGTAATGCCAAACCAGCCCCTTGAAGGTCCTTTTCACGGACCCTGCACCAAGCTTAATGGCTTCCTCCAAGAACTGGTCCCTGTTGATAACACGCTAAAATACATTATACAAAGCCTCACCATTCGCTCTTCCATAGTCCATTCCCCTTGTACTTCCGAAACAGATGTATCCGTTCTTCGGCCTTCTGGGGTAGATTCAATACTTTGCCAGTGCCGTCATTCAAACGCACCAATTCTCCACTCTTCATTATTCATGAGGCCACAGAAAATAACATAGGCTTAGTCCTTCAGTGCTCAAAATAACATCTTTGGTTTTTTCTAAAACAAACAAAAACACTTAAGAGGTCTTTTGCAGCAGATAAACCTCCAGATTATCTGCCTGTAATCTATGTGTTAATTCCCAGCCCAACATCCTCCTTCCTTGTCAAGATATTCCAGGGCTTTCCAGGTCATTGTTATCCTTGTAGGTCCCTGGGTGGCCCCAAGAGTCTCCCTGGATTGCTGCCTTACCGGTTGGCAAGTTAATCTGTGAAGATTCATTAGTTGCCAGAGTCAGTGCCCCTTTGAGATAGCTCCGTGTGCTGCAGAGTGGAAGTGCTCCAGGGGGTTTTCTTGACTGGGATCTTTAAGGAAACATGCCTGACAGATTCTTGGTGGCTTGCATCTGCCAACCTGTAAGTCAGCAGTCCTACACAAAATGTTTGCATCACCTAGGGACTTTTTCATAAAGATAACCGCCAAGAAAACCCCGTGAAGAAGAACGTCCACTCTGAGGCACATGGAGACACCGAAAGAGTGGGGATCAAGGACAACATGTGTGGCAGTGTGTGTGTTTTGCAACACCTGCATTCTAAAGCACAAGGCTGTATTGCTTGCAACACCCTTTTATCAGCCTGGCCACGCAATGCCATGCTACATTGTTTGTGTGTTTATCTAGTTTGACTATTTAACTCTCTTTCCATTGTTCCTGGAGTTTGGGATTGTCTGCCCCACTGGAAGATATTCACCCGAAGGCTGGGCTTTCTCTCCAACTTTGGAACCTCACCAACAGCTTTGTGAAAAGTAGGTGTTCAATACACACATGTGAGTTCTCTTTGAAGAGCTCAGTGACCTCAGGCCCCACTGTTTTTCTCCAAGATTGATCTTTTTTTTTAAGTTCGACATTTCTTTAATTTGGTAAATCCCCCCCCCCACACACACACACACACAAGAAACAGAAATTAACATCTCAAAACCATTCTTTTCATTCAACCGTGTGTACTCAAGAGGCTTTTTCTGGCACAATACTCATGAAGTTTCAGAAATTGCTCCAAAGATTCCAAACTGTGTGGTAACTTGTGAAAATCAGGACAAAGGGTTGTTTTTTTTTAAAAATCTATAGCCTAGAGTAGTGGACAGAATAGAGGGCAGGCTGTGTGGCATCCTGTAATTTGGTACTCCCTGGCTGCTTTTAAAGGAACGTCAGCTTCAATAAAAGAATCTTTCTCAGTGCAGCAGGATCCTGATTGGTTTCTGTACATGCTAAGAGGGGGATTCAAAGGACATCTATCTCAACACTCCATAAAAGGACCAATTTGGGAAAGAAAAACCATTTATTTCTTGGGTATGAGAAACTTAAATATGTTTCAGAGAAAACAGGCAGACATCTCCAAGGAGGACTGTTTATAAAGTGGCTGAGCCCACCAGGCAGTGGCCTCCCCCAGAAAGCTCACCCATGATGCCAGCTTAGAGAATGAAGGTTGCATTTCCCTGGCTGCCCCTGAAGGCATGAGTTTGAATCTCACTTCTAAGAAAGATGGCTTTCAAGGAGCCCTGGTGGCTTTGTAGGGTCACTATTGAGTGAATCAACTCCATCACAGTGAGTTTGCTATAAACCTATCTCAAGGCACCTATCCTCCCACTTCCATATTTGTAAATGTATCCCTGTCCATACCGTCTACCAAGGAGCCCTGGTGGCCTAGTAGTTACACATTGGCCTGGTAACTGAGAGGTCAGCAATTCAAATCCACCAGCCTCTCCATGAAAGAAAGATGAGGCTCTCTACTCCTGTAAAGAGTTACAGTCACAAAAAACCACAGGGGCAGTTCTACTCTGCCCTATAGTTCTGCCATGAGTCAGAATTAAGTCTATGGCAGTGAAGTTGGGTTTTGATATATCATCTACCAAAGAGATCCATGGTGGTATAATGGGTTATGCCTTGGGCTACCTAACCACAAGATCAGAAGTTTGAACTCATCAACCACTCCAAGGGAGAAAGATGAGGCTGATTCTTCTGGTAAAGATTACAGCCTCATAAACACTATGGAGCTAGTCTACTCTGTCCTTTTAGGATCTCTGTGCATTGAAATCAACACAATGATTGTGTTGTGTTTATGTGGTGGGTTTTAGATAGTCTTAAAGGAGCCCAGGTGGTGCGTCCTTAAACACGTGTGCTAACCAGAAGGGCTGGGGTTTGACCACTCCAGCCACTCCACTCGAGAAAGATGTGGCAACCTGGTTCTTTAAAGAAAGACTTACAACCTTATAAATGGGGCAGTTCTATTCTGTATCATAGGGTGGCAGCAGTGAGTCAGAATCAACCTGACTGTTTTTCTTTTGTTGTTTTTTTATCATCTTAAGTCAGAGAGTAATGAAGCCACTATGGAGCCCGTGGGAAGTACAGATATTAGCACAGCCAGCTGCTAACCAAAAGGTTGGAGGTTCAAGTCCATCCAGAGGTACCTTAGAAGAAAGGCTTTGTCATCTACTTCCAAAAAATCAACCCTTGAAAATGCTGTGCAGCACAGTTTTCTCTGACACTCTTGGGGGTCACCAGGGATCCAAATGGACTTAGCGACAAGGACTACGTGCAACTAATTGCCCCTAGGAATATGATTGGCTATGTTGTTCTTAGGTCCTGCCTAGTTGGCTCCCTATGTACAATAAAACAAAACACTGCCCTTTGCTGCATCATCCTCACAATTGTTGTTAGATTCGAGGCTATGTTCACAGCAGTTGTGCCGATCCATCCCCTTGATGATTTTCTACTTTTCGCTGGCCTTCTTCGACATCACCAAGCAGGAGGTCCTTTCCCAGGGACTGGCCTCTCCTGATGACATGGATCAAGACTGTGAAATGAAGTCTTGTCATTCTCACCTCTCCTATGGAGCATTCTGGCCGCTCTTCTAACAAGATAAGGTTGTCTGTTCTGCTGGCAATCCACAGAGCTTTCAATATTCTTTGTCTGCACGATCATTCCAATGCGCCAATTATTGTGTGGCTTCCTCATTCATTGTCTAACTTTCACATGCATATGAAGCCTTTGCAAATACCATAGCTGGGGTCACATCCTTAAAGCGACATCTTTGCTCCAAGGGACATGATTAATTAGAGCTTCATCTAAGGAACTAAATATGTTTGGTTGTAGTTGACCATTGCAACTAGCACTGCGCCCTGTAAGAAAGTTAGAGGAAAAAATAAATAAATAAGATAAAAAGTAAAGAAAGTAAGCGAAAATTGGGGAGACTTTTTGCAGAGACTCGCTGATGCACTTGAGTTTTTAAAATGCCGAGCATTCCCTGAGGACAGTTCTGCCCTCTAAGGTCGCTGTAGTCAGCATTGACTTGAGAACAGGGGAAGTGATGTCCCAGGGGAATGATTTACAATCGTTTCCAACATAAAATGACAATAGTCTCTCTAAGGTGAATCAGAGACCTATATACACCATTGATGCAGGAATGGATTTTGGGCAGGCACTTCATTCTAGGCCCAATCTAAGAATAATTGGTTCTTATGGCATGGCCCTGTTTGATGCTCAACCTCATGAAGAGCTCAATGAGGAGATGGGTGCTATAGTGAAGTGTCATGTACAAATTAGATGATGCCTTGCTATCAGAACACAAAGGGTTGTTTTACAAAAAAGAAAGAAAGAAAGCCATCTAAGTGAGGCGTCAACTAAGTTCACATGGAAGAAGCACACCAGCCTGAGTGATTCAAGGATTATAGATAATATAATCCAAATCTAAAGGAGGAAATTTCATTGGAGCTTAAATTGGGAACGTCTGGTTTTTAGAAGGCTATGGATGATGGTGGAAGCCTAAAATTTGTCTGCAGGGTCCATGCGTGGACGAGGCCTCCGGTGAATCCCCTCTGATGACAGCTGAGAGCTGTGACGAGTCCCATTATCAGACAGAGAGCACTGTAGAGCCGCTTATGGCAGATGTAGTTAGGACAAAATGTAATATCTGAATGTGGTCTCCCTTTAGACCCATTTTAAAGCTGTTTCAGTTAAAAAAAAAAATGGTGAAGGGAGAATACATGTG